TTTTTTAAGGTAGAGTTTGAGTAATTATGATTTAAAACAATATCCCATGAACCAGTACTTAAAATTAACAGTCCAGACCCCAAGATATGTTATGATTTTAAAAGAACTCGACCCACAAAGTGCCTCATATGGCCTAGCAAATATAAAAAAATTTAAGAGGGCTATAAAATCAATATTTCTGGTGAATCTTACCTTCGACCATTGATACAGTTTACATGTGCATCATTTCTGTCAATACCGGATGTTTGGGATATCAAATTAAAATCTAAACCTAACAATGGTTCGAAGTTTTCCGGGAAAATGCCGAAAATAGGACAGTTAATAGTGATTTACACATAGAGCACATTCGTTACGGCAAAGTATTAAACCAGAAAAATAACAATCACTATGCGAGAGATATTTTCCAATGAAAATATTTACCCGTAACGTGTGCGCCCCTATTGAAAAAAGAAGAAACCATTGTCTTTGAAAGAGCTATGACTACAAACCATAATACATTTTTTTTTGTTTTACATAAATTTAATGCATCGAACAAGGGGGTATTATATTGATAAGAGTAAAAGAACAACACATTTCTATCCCACATGTTTCAGACGATAATTAATAGTGGAAAAAAATTCTGAAATCAAATTCGAAAAAAAAAATTATACTATGATCATGTACACATAAATGTGACGTTACTGATTATTATACGTCATTTGTGACGTCATAAAAGATGTAAAGTGAGGTTTCACTTTTTTATTTAAAAAAAAATTTCTAATGCTTTTATGGACGTATTGGGTAGCTTGCTGTCATTAATAAAATGCCCTTTTGAAAAAAAGAAGAAATGAGTAAAATTCTTGAAAAAAAAAATCATTAAAAAAAATCAAACATTTGGGTTTTCTGTAAACTGGATCCTAAATAGAACTCATGTGAGGATGCGTATAACACACAATATGTTTTTGACGAATCCCCTTATCGAACTGTATATGAATTTTTACAAAACGCGCAGTTACTGTATCATCCTTTTCAACCTAAAGATACTTGTCTGGCTTCTTATTTAAAAATAGTATAAGTATAGGCCTATTTGATATATCTTTTATTTACGTCGAAAGAATAAATCTTGATACACTCACTGTTGTTTATGCGACATACTTTGAATATGTTTCCAGAATCAAATTACATATAATTTATTTTAATTTTAATAAATGTTTCTATATGTCACTATAGTAATTACTAGAAACATCGCTTTCCCCCTAAAGACGGTGCTTAGAGTCAAGAAATAAAAATAAGCTTAAAAAGTTATACACTTTGATAATTAAGAAAGAACACAAATTGAAGCATGTATGTGTGTGTGTGTGTGGGGGGGGGGTCTTTCATCCTATCTTTCTGTATTTCTTCATTCATTTTTTGCAGTATGGTCGAGACACTTCAGTAAAAAAAATATTCGAGTCAATATTATGGAACTATAATTTTTTCAAAGTGGTGTGGTGTAGGGGGAGTTATGTCCACTTGTTGTATTATCAATTAAAATAAAATGTTTAAAGTACCCTTTCCAAAAATCAAACTTAAATTCATTGACAAGGAAAAGGCTTTAAATCGATTAACCCAATCGGAGGGGGGGGGTGTTAACTTTAAATGTGAATATATTAGCGATTGCAATCGATTGCAGATTTGCTAATCGGTTAACTGCAAAACATTCTGGCCTACATGTATTAACCATGCAGTTAGTCGCATCAAGATATACATATCAATTGACATGATTTTCTTTCATATACACAAAAAGGCTAAAAGGAGGTTAGAAGTTACATTCTGTTTATTATTTTGATCGGGGTATTTAACGTACATAAGAGTATATTCTATTTCAATTTCAATAGACAAGAAAAAATTAAGAAAACCATGAATCTTGCTTGAGAAATCAGAAAGGGATAATTTTCCAATGTAATTCTTAAAGAAGTTAATTCTGCGTTAATACCATAATCGGAACTAGTCTATGTCTGAACTTTCAATTTATTTACAATTTACAGCGTTCTTTATAATATTAACTTTAATCAAAAGTGCTTAGCGGTGGCGATGTTTTTAATATCGTAAAAAAAAACACAGAACTATCTGGGTAACGACTTGATGTTACATAAACAGTAAATAACACTTTACCAATTACACTGCGATCTCTATCTGGAGAGCTATAACTACCTCAAAATATGGTGTAAAAACCCTAAATAAAAATCAATGCAGCACTTTCCTTTCTAAAAAAAAAAAAAGCAGAAGGGAATTTAAGGAAACTGCGTTCAAATTTACATATATTTTAAATTTTCCGACTAATTAATTAGTACGGATTTTCTAACGGGTTAGCATCGTTCCGACCGATTAATCGATTAACCGGTTACAAATTGTCATCCCTAGTATATATATACACTATTCTTCTTACCAAATGCAGAGGACCTGTGTATCCTTTGGGTGCGCTAGTATGGTATTTTCTTACTTTGCTTTTATTTACTCTGAAATCTGAACTCCCACTTGATCTGCTACGGAGATTGTTTGTTTCTCACCAAGTTTGTTGGGGGGGGGGGGGGGGGTGCAAAGAATGAATCTTCATATAACTCTGCTGTCTCGCACTTTTTAAAAGCTAAAGTCCTAAAGCATAGTCTGTATAAATACTCATAAGAGATTTTTTGGGAAAGAGACTTTCAATATATACATGATATTGAATAAATAATATCGTATACTTTACTGTAAAATCCCGGCTTAGCCATTACAGCTATGGAGATAATTGTATTATTGTATTAATAATAATTGATAATTGTATTATTTGAATGAGAAAGAGGGGCGTCTTAAGTGAAAAAAATGAATAACTGACCCATAAAACCACTCGATCTTGATTCGTGCTAGAGACCGGCAAAATATAAGCATAGATTCTTGATTAAATTATATGACAGGTTATTCCACAAAACTTACGAGTTATATTTGAAACGGCTCACTATAAATTCGCTAAGACACAATGGAATCTGTAAACAGAGCGATTGCATTGATATAGCTTTCAGTTTGAGCAAAATCCTGTTTATTCATGCCAAACAAGTTAATATGATCTTCTTCGTATAGGAATTCAATAATTCTTAAAATTCACTCGTGTATTTTTATTTCATTTTTGTTTGTTTGTTTTTTTTTTACAAACTCTCTCTGCGTAGTAAGATAAATGATAATTCACTTCAAAATACTTTTAATGCCCTTTTCCTTTCGATCTTCCCCCCCCCCCCCCCTAAATATGTTGATCGGACATGTGAAAAGCCTATACAAGTTTATTTCTAGCTTTTAAAAATTATGCTTTAAAATACCTGCGAACATGGAATTTTTTACATGATCTGAAAATTACGATTTTTTTGCCGAGGCCAAAATAAAAAAAATACCTTTGTTTCCCCTATAACGCGACCTACCAAATTTGATCGCGCCGACTAAAATGATTTTTTAAATAAGATGATAATTCAAAAAAAAAAAAATTTATTGTTAACCAGGTTTTTTAAAATACATGTACAGTTTCATCAAAATCAGTTTTTATCAGAACTGCCGACATTGTGCTACTGTGATTTTCAAGCATTTGTTGGAAACAAAATGACGCCCAATTGTGATTATAGAGAATTAGTTCTTCATAAAATAACGGCGACGTATCAATCTTACACCTTTGGCTATTAAGAATTCTTCACTCTTGAAACAATTCGATAATAAGTTGTGACTCAAACAGAACATTTGAGAAAAAAAATTGCTTCAATTATGTGTCTAAGCACCTTTAATAAATAGGTGCATTATAATCCTACAGTCATCTCTATCGCCTTTTTACGTGACGTTATATTACAAAAAATGACGTTCCTAATGCATTTTTCCATCAAAACAATACCATATTGCAATATCTCGTTTTGAAAAAGTAAAATAGATATCGAAAAAAGAAAAACGGTTACGAAAAGCTTAAAGTCTACACTATCGATAATAAATATCATGTTAATTTTGGGGATGAGGCCATATTTTATGGTTCGTGGATTAAACTCTTTTAATTTATAAATAATATTTACAAGAATTTCTCGCATATTTTTCAATTCAATAAGCATTGTTTTTCTCATATTTAAAAAATTCAATCTTGGAATACATGTAGTTAAAATAATGCACATGTGTATTTTTTGGATATTCTTTTAGTTTCAAACAAACAGTACTTTTATCGCCAACTTCATATAGAAACACTGATACATGTACATTGTCAAGCGACTTTACGAGTTTAATTATTAAAATTCCAATTCACTGTAGTATTAAATTTCTAAACATCAAAACAGAATATAACCACTAACATAACATCGACGAAAACGATATGAAACATAAAAACTCTTCAACAATTTCAACATTTCGAAAAGCCTGCGCTATTGAAAATAGTTCGATTACAATATGCATTCAGCAGTGTACATGATGTATGTGCACAAATTGTTTTATCACGATTATACCAATAAAGTAAATATCTAATTTCTCTTTCATTTTAATTCTCAAGCAAAAATATTGCTCATTAACTTTTCCAACGATTGGGATGTTAAAAATATTTGTTTGAATATCATCTCGCAATTGGACTATTTTTTTTATCGGAAGCGTCTGATTTGATGCTGTTTGGTTATTTGTTTACTGTGCTTTTTATAGTAACACAGACGATCATGAAGCCTATGGCCAGAACTTTGCTTTCAGCAAAGCCCGGCTAAAAACAAAAGGCAATCATATAAAACATAAAGAATGTCCAACGTCTGCCAATACTGAAAAACAAAGGGCGATCATATAAAACAAAGAATGTCCAACGTCTGCCAATGCTAAAAACAAACTTAATCATATGACAACATTATAAATACTAAGCAACATAAACTGAAAAAAAAACCCAGCTAGGCTTAAGTGTACCTCTATTTTGCAATACATGTATGCCAGTTTATCAAGTCATTAAAATACTGCGTCTTGAAATTCAGTAAACTATTTTCGATATATGTGTTTCTGGTTAACTTAATCAAAATCGTTTATGAACACTCGCCTGTTATTAAGGTACCACGTGACTAATTGTACCGGGATTTCCACTAAACTTAGGAGGATTATATTAAGATAAAGGTCTCCAGATAGCTCTTCCACACCAAATGAAATGGCAAAGTAAGAATAACCGGTAGAAAGCCTGGATAGATATCAATAAACAAGAGTTTAAAATTTCTTCAATACATTCTCTCTCTCTCTCTCTCTCTCTCTCTCCTTGATAGAGTAGAGAGAGCTTAAAATAAAATAATGATAATTTTGTTGATAATACTTCTAAATTTTTAACTCAAAGATGATTTTAAAACTTACCATATAAACCAAAGCAAGAAGGAGTGCTTCGTCAGCGTTGTGTCTCTGAATATATCCAAAATTGAATAACTCTTTTTGACCACTTCTTCAGTTTCTTTCTGAATTATTGCTATCAGTTTCGTCACATCCGTTCTTTCTTTACCGTTTATGATAGCAATTTTCTCTATAACTTCCTTGGCTTTCTCAGTTTTGAAGTGGGAAACCAGCCACCGGAAACTCTCGGGAACCATACTGAAAGTCAGTTAAAAATTGCGAGACTCAGACCCCAGGTATTTGGAGATCACTGATTTTCGTTTGGATTATTTTTCGTTGATTTCAAGGTATGAGATGCCAATTTGACTGAATTCATGCCTTCCAAGAAATGTAAAATGTCATAGACATAAATTATCAGAAATTTTTCATCAACGAAATAATTCAACGATAAATTCAAATTCGAAAATTGGACCCCAAAAAGCGATTTATCAGATTTATTTTTTGTTGTAAAATGAAAAAGCTATAAAAACAGAAAATAAAATGGTTTAATTAATATAAAAGTTAAATTCGGGGAAATAACTTACATCATTCCCAAAAGGAATGGAAGAGTTATAAGAAAGGTCGCAAAATGTAGATACCGCCAATCCTTCAACCAGAAGGAAACAAGACCGAGAAGAGCTGCATTAATCGGACACGTGTCGATCGCCATTATCATCGCTCGGTACGTAGTGGGAATAAACTCCAGCACAAAGTTTAAGTACACCGTTAAGAACATCCCACAGGCTAAACCAATCAGAAACCGCGCAATAGCAAACATTTCCCAGGAGGAAGAGAATGCACAGAGCAGGTTGCTGGCGGCCAGGAGGGTGAGGGACAGGAGTAAAGTGGGCTTACGACCAATCAGATCAGCAACTTGACCCGCGATAAAGCCACTAGTTAGAAGTCCCACAAACTGCATGGTAGTGATGATAGACGTTATCCATTCTTTCCAACAAATTAAGGACCACTAAAAGCAAAGTTAGCATTATTCGATATATTTTTGCTAAAAAAGTTTCATTATATTATATCTGACGTGACAAACCGTTCATCATTTACCCCCCTCCCCTTTACGAAGAGTGGTAGGGTATATAGTGATGGGGATGTCCATCCTTCTGTACGTTTAGCTGTCCGTTAAATGAAATATATATTAAACTTTCACAGAATCTTTCTTCCATTGTGCCATTTTGTGATCTCTTATTTTACTTTTTGATCCGACACATATTTTGGGTTTCCCATAGCAAAACATGAACAATGTCATTTCGTCGATAATATTCAAGGGTAGAGATCTCTTATCCGCAATTACTCCTGTACATGTACCACTCAATAAAATTTTATGATACTTTCAGAGATTCTTCATTACATAATGCCATTATACACCTATTTTACTTTTTGTTCAGGTCCCCAAGAGCAACACAAGGACTTTCCATTATAATTATATAGGAGATGGGGTATTACATGTATATAGTGAGCTCAGTGCTCACAGTACCTTAAGATCATTTTTTTATATTGCAAAATGTTACCAATTTTTCTTCCTTTCACAGTTTCTTTTAATAAAAATGGAACTCGTAAATTTACTTACTTGGTCATTGGTCATTTGCAAAATTATTTTGTTTATACAAATTTTGGTTGCACAAACAAGTACTCAGAAGTTGACATCAAAAAGATTCTTGAGTTTCTGATTGACAATATCTATGTAGTTTTTGGAGACCAGGTCTTCCAACAATCTATTAAAATTCCCATTGGTACCAATTGCGTCCCGTTAATAGTAGACCCATTTTTGTATTCATATTTGAAGCAAAACTTGTGCAAAATCTTATAATTGAAAATAAGAAAACACTTGCCGTACGTGGTCTTCCACTGAACATTTTAATAATGTGAAATCACTAATTTTCTTGTGGGTTTAACAGGTCGGAGAGAATACTCGAATACTCCATGGAAATCGCGTATAATACCCGATATAAGGGTATTGTTGAATCCGCCAAATCGGGTATAGGAGGTGTAGTCACCAAATAAAACTTAAACAATGGGATGGCGCATGTTGCCGAGTTAAGTTTCATCTAGATACAAATGTTTTCTTAAGGTATCACTCGCCAAGTAAGAATTTGGGTGTCAAGATAAATGAGCTCAGGACAACAAATACCCGTGGAGCTCAGTACATTTCATGATCTGCACACAAAAAGGCGTTCGATTTGCTTTATATTTTTCATAATGTTGAAAGTATATGCATCTTCCTCATGTTCATTCATAACACAACAAAATTGCAAGGTATCAGAATTTGGGAATTTATAGTAAGGCCATTCCAAGTTTTTTCTCTGTTTAGCGTCCACCCATCTTTCAAAAACCTACCTACCTATTCGCAAAAAATGCACAGGCAAAACATAAAACACAGGCTTAAAAGTCATAAAAATGACGCCCTTCAAATGATTTGATCTAAGTAAACTGCTGTAATAGAAGAAATATCTATTCTTAAGCAAAAACAATGGATTAAATGCTTAAAATTCACCCAATATAACTTACTGTACAGAATTATTTGGAGAAATTGACAAAATTCAAAAATTTCGACTAAATTTATCAATTTCAGGACTTCTGATGTTGTGTGTTTTTTCTTATATGGGGTGTCAATAACCAAGGCGCACGCGGATGCTAAACATAGAAAAAACTTGGAATGGCCTAATTCCACATCAACACGACAAACATGAACAATTTGTAAATAAATCAAATTATACGGAAACACATTTCACACACAAGATATAAGGCCATGTATAAACAAATGATTGTCTATCGTATCTAATTATGCGTCATGAATTACTTTCACATTCATCTTATGCATAAAATCAAATTTATTTATGAATGTAATAAATAATGTAATGATAAAAATGTCTAAAATTTCGGCTAAAAAACCCTCTTTCTCTCTTTTTTTTTTTTTTTTTTTTGAAAATCTTTATTTTTTTTTTATCATTCATACATATTTGCAGAATATGTCTTCAACATTTAGCAGAGACAGTGATAGTTTCAGGAATACAGCTTATGAGAGAACATATCTGTTGATCGTTTAAGTTCGCTAAGTCATCAATATTTTACCATTTCTTGGCGACTTCAAAGGGGGATGCTAAAAGCTTCTTGACCACCTCTGACAAAACAACCTCGACTGTGTTCTGTATGTGTCCAAGAGACCTCTCCTTTCGCAATCATTGAATTAAATGTTTATGCAAAGTTTTTTGCTATGTCTTTGAATGTCACGGTCGGTTAAACTCGGTTATATATTTTTAATTGTAGATTTTTAATTTTTAGATTTATTCATCAAATAAAAACCATGTAGGTAAACAAACAGCAACCTGTTATTTTTCTAAAACAATATGATACTACAAGTAACTAAAACTCATATTTATTTTTTTAACACATTTTTCCTTATAGATGAGAATAAGAAAATTTTTTGCATAGGTAATAAGTATCACAGATAAAATAACTAAAATGAAACTGTGACATATTGTCTAAAACCAATCAGATAGTACGTTGTATAGCATATTATAATGAGGTTTAAAGATAGCGATATAAAAAAAAATGCGTAAAATAGACAACAGAAGGTAAAATCTACCCTGTCTGTCAAATAGTATAATAAAGAAAGGAAGTGCTACAATTTTATAAAATTTTAATGTCCAATGAGGAATTGTATTCCCAAAAAGCAAGACAAGAGTTTCCAAGGCGCAATTGAACACTCCATTATTTTAGTTCATTAACATGTTCATAAACGTAAAAACTATAAGAAATGTGAAAACTTGACTATGTGATTCATATTTGAATATGACTGTACCTCGATCTATATTGAGAAATTCAATGTATTATAAGCTCATGAAAAGATGTACACATTTGACTTTTATTTTTAACCCCCCCCCCAAAAAAAAAAACAAGAAAATCCTGTTCTCAGGACTTCTCGCTCTCAATTTTCACACAAATGCATAAAATAAAGGTAAAATAGCATATCTTGTATCAATTAAAATGCAACCAAACATGCACGGTGTCTTTGAATAAGAATTCCGATGCTAAATTGACATAAAAAAAGATACTCGCCTTTAATTAGCTATTTTCAACCTGTTTTCTGTGGGTATTTATTTAACCTTATTTTATTTTCTTCTTTATAATAACGTTGGTATTCTATTATGGCAGAGATATACAACTATGACTCGCTTATAATACTGTACTCTCTAACTGTTAAGAATAATTAATATTTCACGTGAAAGGGGCGCCATATATTTTTCAGTAAAAATACATAACACGGCGTTAGTCGTTTAATTTCTTTAAAGTTTCACATTTTGTGAATAGTGCACAAATTAGAAAATTAAGTATATGGGATACTTAAATGGGAAACAGAGACAAACGAAGTGTAGTTATTTGTTTTTAGAAATTATATTGAAAAATAATTACGCCATTGTATCCTCTTTGTTACCCCAGCAGTGTTTGTCGTGTGATTTGAAACTTATTTGACAACCATATAAATTAGGTTTGATAAAAAAAATTTACAAGATACTGATGTACAAGTAACAGTAATTGACATAATGCGCCGTTGCTTTAATTATTCTTTTGTTTTTATAGAAAGTTGCACGGAATACTCGATTTCGCGGATTCAACGATACCCTAAAATCGGGTATTATACAGTGGACCTTCAGATATCCGGACGCCAGATATCCGGATGCTTCAGTATCCGGACGATTTTTCATCAGAACGGAATTTTAAAATGTTATTTTGTCTTGTTGAACTGGTGATTCAGATATCCGGATGCTTCAAATATCCGGACAAATTGACTGGGAACCAAAGCGTCCGGATAAATGAGGGTCCACTGTACGCAATTTCACGGATAATACCCGATTTCGAGTATTCTCTCCGACCTGTTTAATTTTCGTTGTTTTTGGGGTATGGACAGACACACGAATTTATGACAAGTGGGAAGTGTAGACTTTCATATGCATTACTAGTTATTATTTATACACTGAACTGACAAAAGATTTTCACGTTATTTCCCAATCATGAAAAGGAGCACATGGCGGGTGTGACCAGTTAGCAGGGGATTCACTCCTTCATGGCACCTGATCCCATCACTGATGTTTTAGAGGTCCGTGTTTGCTCTGCTCCTAATATTTATTACTTTATGGACTTTGATATTAAATATTGTTTGTTATCTCCATATCCTTCATTTATTCTCATTCATTTTACCCATATTTCAAAGTTTCAACTTCGTGAATCAATACGACTAAATCTAAAATGATATTTATTCGAGCCCATTCAAAAATGATATTTATTCGAGCACATTCAATTCTCTTACTTCATTCACTATTGTGTTTTTCTCTTTGCTAAAACGTATCGATAAACAGGAATATCCACCGGGGGTGTTGACAAGGGGACTGCATGATCTAAGTGATTCTAGTCTATCGTCATTTAAACCGGAAGTTCCATTTTGCGAAACACACCACCAGTCAGGTGTACTCCCGGCAAATGTCATCATGAAAATGCCCCATGTGATTGCCAGTCGACTTCCGTTAATGACGAAAATGAGCAGCCATTGAAGCTTCCCCAAACCCCCGGACTCTTCCAGAACCTTCTCTAGGATATCATCAAGTTGTTCGTCAACAAACGTCATCTTGTGTAAAATGGCTACTTCCTGAAAATAAAAAATCAAATGCAGAAATGCACAAGAAAGAAGTTTCTGATTCTTATTTTCGTGTCTACGTGGGGATCCGGGTTAGAATAGGTCCTCAGTACCTCCTTGCTTGTCGTAAAAGGTTACTAAATGGGGCGGTCCTTCGGATGAGACGGTATAAACCGAGGCCCCGTGTCACAGCAGGTGTGGCACGATAAAGATCCTTCCCTGTTCAAAGGCCGTAAGTGCCGAAAGCATAGTCCTAAATTTGCAGCCCTTCACCGGCAATGGTGACGTCTCCATATCAGTGAAATATTCTGGAGAAGGACGTTAAACAGTATACAATCAATCAATCAGTCGTGTCTACGTTAAGTGTAGTCTGAAATATCTAACGTTTTCCTGTCTATTTACGATTTGAATATTTTTTCGTGCCAAGAAAACGTCAGAACCGGCGCCATCACGAAAACTGGAATTTCGTCGTCTCCAACCTAAGCTGATTTTTGATACTTGCGAACTAAACTAAATGCCGAAATCAGTATTTATCAATATCACAATGCTTATAGTACTCACCAATATCAATGAAAAGAAATAAATCACTTCATACTTCGATGCAGGTTTTGTCAGATCTTAAAATGCAGGAAATGAAAACAAAACTCGGGTGTCTGGAAAAAAAAAATGTTTTCATTGAACTGTTGGACTTCTTTAAATAAACCTTAAAACGATGTTAGTGAGTACTTAAGACACTGTACTGTTAATACGTTGTGAATTCAGTTTGCATTTAATTTGGTTTGCAAGTATCTAAATCAACCCGAGAAAGTAGGTGGAGGCGACGAATTTCCAGTTTTCGTTATGGCATTTTGTATTAAAAAAAATTGAGGCGTTCTCAGTCATTTCAAACGTGACTCTGGCATAAGACTGACAGGAAGTTCTGACTTACACTGTCTTTCCGAACCGAATTCGCTAAAAAGTAAACTCAATGAATTAAAAATTTCACAAATCTTCTCAGTTACTATAAAAAAAAACATGGCCAATTAAGAATTTCTTATGTTGCTTACAAATTTGCAGTTAAATACATTATTTATATATAAATTTAAAGACCAATGTCAACTCTAAGACTTTGCATACACACATGGGTTTTTAAATACATGTATTTACCGAAAAATATGCAGATATAGTTTTATATGAACATACTGTAATGTTGATAAACGTTTTCCACTGCAAATCTTAATGTCGCTGTATTTATTTACAAATTTCAGGGTGGAAATCATAGCTGTAAAACAGCTCCAAACAAATTACAATGGATGTTAAAAAGAGAGCTTTATCTTATGTAGGAAATCACTTTTCGCAAGGAAATGCATGGATCTTATTTAATATGAAGTCAGCATGTCGTTACAAAAACCATCGACCTTGACTTTTTAGTTTCTCGCACAGAATGCAGATCTTTTTTTAAATAAAACTTAACTGAAAGTAACCACAGAACCTAATATCATTGATTCTAGTTGCGTGGACATTATAATGACAAGTTAAATTGATGCAAAGCATCAAATCGGCCGCTAACAAAATCTAGCATTTG